TAAAAAAAAAAACTGTGCCTTTAAGCAGAGTTAACATACACTGGCCCAGCAATTCCACTTCTAGTTACACATGCACAAGAAATGAAAACATGTCCACACAGAAACTTGGACACAAATGTTGACAATAGCATTATTCACAATAGCTGGAAACAACCCAAATGTCCCTCAGCTGATGAATGGATAAACAAAATGTAGTACATTCATGCAATGGAATATTACTTGGCATAAAAAAGAATGAGGTACTGATTCATGCTAAGTCACTGATGGCCATGTATTATAGTATTCCACTTATAGAAAATGTCCAGAATAGGCAGGGAGCTCTGATGGTGCAACGGTTAAGCACTCGGCTGCAAACTGAAAGGTTGGCGATTCAAACCCACCAACCAACTTCACGGAGAAAAGACCTGATGATCTGATCCTGTAAAGATTAATAGCCTAGAAAATCCTACAAGGAAGTTCTGCTGCCGCGCTGGGCCGCCGTGAGCCGGAAATCAACTCGACAATACTCACAACACAGATGAAAAGTAGATCAGTGTTTGTCTGGGGCTAGAATAGGGGATGGCGCCTAACAAGCATGGGGGCAATAAAAATGCTCTACAGTTGACTCTGGAAATAGCTGCACAATTGTAATTATACTAAAAGCCACTGAATTGTACAATTTAAATCGGTGAATTGTATATGAATTATATCATTTTTATTGTTGTTGAAAGCATACACAGCAAAATATACACCAATTCAACAATTTTGACATGTCCAACTGCATGCCATAAGTTATGCAACTTACGTTCTCACTTTCCTTTTCTGAACCATCTTTCCCCCATTAACATAAACTCACTGTTCCTTAAGCTTCCTATATGACCTTACATATTGCTGTTATCAATTTGATTCCATATAGATGTTGCTGTTGTTACGTACCATCGAGTTGGACCCGACTCACAGCGACCCCTCCCTGGGTTTCCGAGGCCGTATCACTACGGAAGTAGATTGCCCAACCTTCCTTCCGAGGAGTGGCTGGTGGGTTTGAACCCCCAGCCTTCTGGTTAGCAGTCAAGTGCCTTAAGCACGATGCTCAAGGCAAACATTTGTTACTAAATAAGCTAACTTACTGTTCGGTTTAAAGAAGACTTCAGGGGGTGTTTCTGGTTTAAGGTTTAAACATTACCTCAGGGCAACATTCAGCTTCAATGGCTCCAGAAAGTCTGCATTGTGAATTCTCTCTTAATAGAGTTGTCAAAAACAAAGTCCCCATCCCTAACATTTCACTCAAAAACTTTTCTCTG